GCTCTGGGAACCTGCTGCCCCCAGGGGCTGGTGTCTTTGCTGGGGATTTACCGAGTGGTTTTTTCTTGCTTGCAGGAGAACGCAAATCTCTTCAAGGCCGACAAGTCATCGCGGATGTGGCTGGGCTACGTGCGGTCTATAGACAGAATCGTGCTGAACAGACTCTTCAGGCTTGTCCACAGATCTCTGCAGCTGCTGCTCACCAACATGGCCCCTGACGTAGGTCCTGGTTCGCCCCGTGGCACCGTGTCCCTGCGCTGCCCGTGCTCGGGACGCCCCGTCACTCGCCATTAATGCTTCAGGCGTTTGTTTAGTGACCAAACGTGCCCGTCCCGGTGCTCCCCGGGGCACCCGGCAGCCAGCACCGGAGGTGCCGGTGTCCCCCCTTGTCCCCACCATGGGGCTGGGGGCCGGGGGACGTGACCTCGCGGGGCTCTGACCTGTTCCAGGCCGACGTGGCGCCGTTGTTCGAGGTGCGCCTGGAGCTGTGCGAGGGCAGAGTGCGGTACCGTCCCCCGCTGGAGGCGGGAGCCGACAGTCTGGTGGGGCTGGTGGAGGAGCTGCTCCAGGACATCTACGCGCCCGCCGCCTGCCTGCCTCGGCTGCTGGAGGGCAAACTGAGCTACAAGGTCAGTCCGCGGTGGGAGGCACCTCCCGCCTCAGCTGGAGGGGGGCGAGGAGGCACGGCCCCCCCAGCCGGTCCCCGAGAGCTCTGCCCGTCCCCTCAGACCAGGCTGGAGGAGCAGGCGGATCTGGGCAGGATGCAGGAGGAGGTGATGGCGCTGGTGGTCAGCGCCGCGGCGGAGGGCGAGGAGTACAGCGCCGGCTTCGAGGAGCAAAACCACCTGTGGCTGGAGGACCCCGGGGAGTTCCTGCAGCACTTCCTCGCCTCGGGCAGTGCCCCCGGCCCCGAGGAGCTGGAGCTGCAGCTGGAGGAGCCCCCGGCTCACGGGACCCCCTCGCTCCAGCTCTTTCAGCAGGAGGTATGGGGCTGGTGCCCGGGGAGGTGCTGGGTGCCCGGGAGGTGCTGGGTGCCCGGGAAGTGCTGGCCACGGGCTGTGACCAGCTCTTGTCCCCAGATCAGCGCGTGCGAGGAGCTGTGCGAGGAGGTGTCAGGGTTTGAGAACACCAAGGTGTTTGGGGGGTGGCTGCAGTGCGACTGCCGCCCCTTCAAGCAGGCGCTGCTGGGTGCCATCAGGCACCGGGGTCTGGTGCTCCGGCAGCACCTCGCCAGCCACGTCATCACCAGGTAGGGACCCGGCGAGCCCCGGTGCGGGACCGGGCGCTCCCGGTGACCAGAGCCCGGCGGGGCTGTGCCGGGGCAGGGCTGGTCCCCACGGGACGGAGCCGTGGGCAGAGGTGCCAGGCACCCCCTTGGGGGTGAGGCCCTGGGGGGCCACGTCCTGCAGAGCGAGCCCTGAGCAAGCACGGGGGTGGCTGTGAGCCCATCAGGGACACCCAGTGAGCGCCGGCATCTTCCTCCCAGTCTCCAGGAGCTGGAGGGTTTCATCCAAAATACAAACACCAGCTTGAACAAACCTCTGGAGGAGGGAGACTACGAGGGGCTGGTGGAGGTGATGGGGGTTCTGATGCGGGTCAAGGAGAGGCAGGCAACGACCGACAGCATGTTTGAGCCCCTGAAGGAGACGGTTGCTCTGCTCAGCACTTACGGAGAGGAGATGCCCGAGGAGATTCACCTCCAGCTCCACGTGAGCTGCTGGGGGTTGGGGGTCGGGCAGGGGCTCCCCGGGGCCAGTCCGCTGAGGCCGCGCGGCGCTCGCTGCAGGACCTCCCCGAGCACTGGGACAGCACCAAGAAGCTCTGCCTGCACGTCAAGCAGAGAGCGGCACCCCTGCAAGCCAACGAGGTCAACAGCATCCGCAAGAAGTGCCAGCAGTTCGAGGTGCCTGCCCGGGGGCCTGGGGGCAGGCGAGCAGCTTCTCGGCGGCCTCGGGCAGAGCTCGCTGCTGCCCTGCCCGCCCTGAGCCCCGTCCCCCGCGCAGGTCCGGCAGCACGCCTTCCGGGAGCGCTTCCAGCAAAAAGCCCCGTTTTC